CTTTGTTTTCTTCTTCCGATGAGCCACAACCACAGATATTAAAGCTGTTCCCAAGGATTTAAACACTGAAGGAAATATTTCATTTACTGAGAGGAATCTTTTCAGTGGATGACTATGATTTTTTTTTTTAAGATGGAGGGGATGCCACCTGCTTTTCAGATGCGCACATCCTAGACTGGCGTGCCCAGGACTGAGGCCTGCCTCTGCTTCCAACTCAGCTCCCTGCCAGTGTGTGCCCTGGGAGGCAGCAAAGACTGGCTGTGACATTTGGTTTCCTGTCACCCACATGGGAGACCTAGCCAGAGGCACCAGCTCGCTCCTGGCCTGGGTCCTGGTCTGGGCCAGCCCCAGATGTTTACACATGTGGGCATTTGGGGAATGAACCAGGGAATGGAAGATCTCTTTCTCTGTTTCTCACACTCTACCTTTGAAGTAAATAAACAAATTGTGGGGGAAAAAATTGTCCATTTACTATACACAAATGTATATATATCAAATATATTTGATAATATATACTGTATGATGAATTTACCAAGAAAAAGACTGTATTCTATTGCCATGTATTCTACTCCATGTATGATATGTTTAATCCTGTATATCAGAATTATAACAATTGTTAACATTTAAGCTTATGAAAAGGTTAAGTCCGAGCTGTGGCTTATTTCTAGTTATCTGTTATTCCACTTTATTTTAACTCCATTCTCCTCCTCTCGGAAATTCTGTAGTAAAAGATAAAAGACTCCGAACAACTTGACTGCTCTGTGAACTTGGGTCACTGGGAAGGGGGAAGGACTCAATTATTTGCCTTTGTGACCTTGACCTTGACCTCAAAACTTTCTCAACTTGATCAACTCAACATTTCTACTATCACCACAATCTACATTTTTAATAGTATTAAAAACAACTGTCCCCCGTAATACTTTGGGTTTGCAGAAGAGAGAAAGCCAGTTCCACTCAGGGATCAATAGTTTTTGATTTCCCATTTACAGCTGTGGAACCTCCCCGTACCATTCCTCCATTACTATCACTTCCTTCTCCCGGGACGAGCTGGGCTAGCCTCTCCAAGTACAAGTTCCTCCAAATACATGGCACAAAGTTGCAGTGCAATCAGAATTTCTTTCCTGATAAAAACCATTTTCCCAGGTATGTTGATATTACTTTACTTTCCCCCTATCCAGGCAGAAAGCACAGGGTACTCTTCCTCGGGTTTCAAAAAAGGAAAATATGACACGTGCTGATTGAAACCAAACAGACCTTGCAAGGGTCCTGACAATGACGTCTTCATTGGCTATGACAGCTGGGACAGCGTCCGCCGCTGTCTGCTCTCTAACGCTGCGCCAAGGCCTTGGCCTTCAGACGCTGCTGAAGCCCCGGGAGCATCGCTGCCTCGTTTCTGAGTACAAGCAGTAGAATGGTTTTGCATCCACAACAAAATCTAAGAATCAACGAAATCCCGCCCATCACCTCCTCGGCTACTCTGTGCTTGACCACAGGACTTGGAGCCCGTGAATCCCAAGCAACATCCTAAGTTGGGGGACCTGTATAAAATACAGCAGGAGTGAAAACGGAGTAAAGGATTTGCTGTAGCAAGATTTTCTTCCCCCAACCTTTGGTATTAAAATTCTCTTCTATTAGGCATTAACATTTCGAATTCTGAAGGATGCTGATGGCGACTGTGATTAAGGACTCCCAATGTTTTAACTTTTAAAATATAAATTTAAAAAGCCACTCTACATAACTTAGCCTTCAAGGATATTAGCAGGGGATCAAGAAAGAACCCTAGCACTCAAAAATGGGCTTTAAATACCACAAAGGCTAAACTTCAGAGTTATATTATCAGAAAATACTAAGAATATGGGCAGAAAAAAATCTTTCACAATTTCTCCTTCTGTTTTTAATTATTTATTTATTTTAAGATGTATTTTTATTCGAAAGTCAGATATACAGAGAGGAGGAGAGACAGAAAGGAAGATTGTTCATCTGTTGATTCACTCCCCAAGTGGCCACAGTGGCCAGAACTGAGCCCATCTGAAGCCAAGAGCCAGGAGCCTCCTTCGGGTCTCTCACACGGGTGCAGGGTTCCCAGGGTTTGGACTGTCCTTGACTGCCCTTCCAGGCCACAGGCAGGGAGCGGGATGGGAAGCAGAGCTGCTGGGATTAGAACCAGCACCCATTTGGGATCCCTGGCACGTTTAAAGGTGAGGACTTTACCTGCTAGGCTACCAACTTAGCTGCTAAACCAAGCCCAATTTCAATGAAGGTTCACAGTAGTTACAGTAGAAATTGTTTTACTATTTTGGCTCCATCTGAGCAACAAAACAAAACTTTTAAAAAAAGAAAAAAACAGGATCCATGCACAATCCCATCAGAGGGAATGCACAGGCAAGCGGGGTGGAGCACACCAGGGGCTGGTCACGCGAGCCCAAGCCCACCACCCTGCCTCTGCTCGCCACCCCTCACCAGAAAGGCGGGGGCCCCGGAGCGCGTGGGGAGGCAGACAGTTTTGCTGGCTCCCACTGGCTTCTCAGGCTCACAGCCCGCCAGAAGTTGGCGTCGTGGGGGTCCTGTCCTCGTGCCAACCCAAATGGCTCCAGGGACTCACCGAGGAGGACGCTGGCCAAATAGTGTGTGAGAAGACACCTCTTCCACATTCTCTCCCATGTCGGGAGGTGAGACTAAGGGAAGCCCCTTGCAGGAGACCTCACGGTGCTGGTGCCAAGGCGTGGGCAGGGACAGGCCACGCCAGCAGCTGGCTCCCTGCTCGCACCAGGCAGGATTCCTCCCATGGCCGGCCTAGCAGCGGAGTGGCGCTCGCCTCAACCTCAGCCAGGGCACTCCTTTCCGTTGATTTTTTTTTTTTCAAATTTAAGTAATGATGATCCTATCTCCTTGGGGACCTGTATTGCTTTGCCAAACGGAGAGTCATCCGGTCACTGGCTGCACACACGCGCACACACACACACACACACACACACACACACACACACACACCACACAGCCTACCTATCACTGGAAAATAACACAAAGAGTGAATTTAGGTGAACACGGAGCTCCATGGTACAGAAATGAAGTGGAAGAACAGATATTCTGGACAAGCAGTCCTCATCTGCTGTCATTCCCAAGGCCAACAGGAAATTAGGAAACAAGCGAGGTCCCTGAAGCCCCACGCATGTGAATATGCGACACGCGACAGCCTCCCGCAGCCACACCAGCTCTTCTCTGAACCAAGAAAGATGATGCACTTTTCAGGAAAGTTCACATTTTACTGCACTTTTTTTTTTTTTTAAGAAAAATGAAAATCAGCACTCTCACACCATTTCTGGCAAATGGATAAACTCAGACAATTTATCAACACTTCCTTAAATTTTTACACCAGGCTGCACTCCAACAGGTTTTTGTTTTAAGGTAAACCCGGTTTTTGGCTCTTCCCTGTGGAGAAGTGACTTTCAAGTCAGTGAAAGTTCTTGGCCCATGATTAAAAGTCTTTGCCAATTAGTCCTCAACAACTTCAATTCATTTTCTTCTGGTTCAAGATGAGTAGAAGCCTAATAAGGCTGTGATAAAAGGGCAAAAGGCACCCCAGAGCCAAAAGCGGATTAATGAGCTCCTCCATTTATTTGTCTTTCTAACAGCTGAACTGTTACAACTATTGACACTCTTCAAAAGGTTCCGCTCTGAACCCTGTCCAGGCACTGCAGGCTCCAATGGACATCTTCAAATCCAGAGAATGGGGGGGTAAGAGCTTCCCCTGTGTGATGCCAAAACCAACAAAGCCCCACGGATCAGGTAATGAAACTTCAGCTTTTCCCCCTTTGAGATTTATTTACTGGCAGCTGACAAGGGGCAAATTCAGCTCGAATTGTGCAGTCAAGGCCCTGTCAAGCTTTGCGAGGCACCCTTGTCTTGAAGCACCTTCATGACTGGCATTTCGCTCAAAAGCCCTCGGCACTGGTCCTTAACAGCTTATGACATCACAAAGGACACTCCAGACAGATGCCTACATGGCATCCTGCAGCATTTTAAAAGAGAATTAGTGGTTTTAATTATGGTCGTGGTATGAAAGGGAACCAGGCAAGCTCCACGGGAGACCTTTGATCAGGCCCTTTTGCTAGTACAATGCCACGGAACTGTGACTATTCCTGGTAAGGGGCCTTTTCTTGCTGAATGACTCACCAGTGATCTTTGAATGCAGACAAGCTCCTTGCCCTCCCTCTTCATTAGGGAGCATTTCTATACAGGGGCCTATATAGTGCTTGGAGTCTAGGAGCTAGACAATTGGGTGGAAAAGAATCCCCACGGATTCTGGCCTCTCCTTAGGAAGTGCTGAAGGACTCCGAGTGACTTTATTCATTAAAACAGGTTGCTATTAATTAACTGTCATAATAAAATAAAGAACTATTATTTGCATGTCTTACTATGTTCTCTTTAGTCATATGTATAAAAGATGCTTGTAACAGAAATGAAGTTATTGAACCACGTCTCCCCTCCCCCGCAGCCCCTTGCCCATCCCGGCCTCCCCTCCCCCGCAGCCCCTTGCCCATCCCGGCCTCCCCTTCCCTGCAGCCCCTTGCCCATCCCGGCCTCCCTTCCCCCGCAGCCCCTTGCCCATCCCGGCCTCCCCTCCCCCGCAGCCCCTTGCCCATCCCGGCCTCCCCTCCCCCGCAGCCCCTTGCCCATCCCGGCCTCCCCTCCCCCGCAGCCCCTTGCCCATCCCGGCCTCCCCTCCCCCGCAGCCCCTTGCCCATCCCGGCCTCCCCTCCCCCGCAGCCCCTTGCCCCATCCCGGCCTCCCTTCCCCCGCAGCCCCTTGCCCATCCCGGCCTCCCTTCCCCCGCAGCCCCTTGCCCATCCCGGCCTCCCTTCCCCCGCAGCCCCTTGCCCCATCCCGGCCTCCCTTCCCCTGTTGTCTCGCATTTTGCTAGCAGGAACTTACTAATTATTAGGCTTACATCTATGGGTCCAAATTCAAGTGAAAACATAAATATAAAAAAATGAATCAAGTACATACGAAAATCCTTTTTACTTGTCAATCGGTTTCTACAAGTAAACTTGGCAAAGAGCAAATGAGCTTTTCCTTTCAGTGAGTTCAGAGAACGGGGTAAGATAATAAAACCCAAACCTGTTTTTCAAAACATCACTCACTTGGTATTTAGCTTCAGGTGTGAGATTATGTGACAACCACAATTATTTAAAAATAAAAAGTAACTTGAAGCATAACAACATTCATTCTCTTTAAAAAAAAAATAAACAAACACCATTTCACTTCCAGAAATCAGAAAATGTCTTTGGTCTTGCATTGATATCTTTTAAAAAAAAGTCCTCTTTTAAAATTGCCATCCATGAACAAGGCTCTTCAAGGAGTCATAAGATGATATTGCAGGTGCACGAAGAGGACGCGCTCTTTTTTCTATAGAATCTCATCAAGCAAGTCACTTGGTGAAGATTGTGGAAGTGGCAAGATTGTTCCAGAAGCTTCTCACTGTTATGTTCACTGGGTAATGTGGGATAAAAAGCTTTGCATAAATAGTACATCTCAGCCATGAAATACCTTTTAAAGAGTATGGCCCGTACCAAGTGACTTCCATCTGGGAGGCAACATGGCTGCTGATCTTTTGTTTGGTTGGTTGGTTTTGTTTTTTAACACACTTTCTTTGTGTGGAGGGTAAACTTCCGGACTCCAGAGCTTTGGGTGTTGGCTGACGAGCAGGTTCTTCACGTGTTGCTGTCTCGGACCGGTTTCCTGTCTCTCAGATTCTGCAGTTCTTTGCGCAGATGCTTGACTGCGGCTAAGATGTCGGCTCGCTGAGGGTCCTCCCGTGCTTTCCCGGCGTAGAGGTGGAAGTGTTTGATGGTTTCGGACAACAAGACTTCAGGGTCCGCGTCCCGCGCCCCCAGCCGCAACATGCGCTCACAGGCGATGGCATAGTTCTTGTGCCAGTTCACGGGGTGCTTCTTTTGTGAAGACACAATCTCCCTATAAAGCTGGAAAACACACAGTGCTGGTGTTTCACTGTCAGTCTCTGACTTTACTGTTTTTACCCTTTTTAAGAAAAAAAGTGAATATAGAGGAACAAATAACACAAGGGAGGAAAAAAAAACCCACCAAGCAGCTATAGTAAAAATCTGATCATTGCTAGGCCATGCAGAGAACACGAGACAGTGGCAGGAGGCGAGTAAGTTTCTGGGGCTTTCGGCTGGTGCAGGGCGCTCCGAAGGCACACTGCGTCGGAACAAAATACTGCTCCTCCAGGAAGATGTTCTGGTCTAATTCATGGAAAACTATTTGCTCAACGGACAGAAAGGTTGAAACTCTAAATTTAGCTGTTGGACGGGGGAAGAAAATATAGCTTTCTTCGGACAACCGATTAGAAGAAGAACTTGAAGAAATTTACATGTGGGCCTACGTTATTTACCTCAACTTCCCTGTGTGTTAAAGCAATGCCAATGACAATAGCGACAACAGAACAATTCAAACAAACCCTCCGTAGGCTGGGAGCAATGGGATCTCAGAGACATGCTTGGAGAGTTAAACTCTTCCTGGTTCTCCGTAATGTACAATCTTGACAGTTGAAATGGTGCCTACAGTAGGTACTGGGTATTTGTTCCTCAACCTCCAGGGACAGCAGGGCCCCGGAGCAGAGTGGGGGGCTGCTCTGGGAGCCGCCCCTGTGCAGTCAGAGCTGAAGATGTCATGTTGTGACCCAGCACCCAGTCCTGTTTCTTCAGCTCCTACTGCGGAGCAGACAAATGCCACAACTACAGCAGTATGCCTGTGACCAGCTCCCCAGCCCCTGGGAGGTCACTTCCATGTGTCAGAACCCTCAGGCTTCCAGGGCCTTCTCGTTCAATCCCTTCCTTTTACAGACCAGGACATGTAGCGACACAGAGACACCAACGCACGCAGCCAGCCCTCTACCCTCACATCCAGTTGGGAAAGCAGACCTTTCCCAGTCCCTGCTGTCTCACTGTTTTTCTCTGTCAGCTGCATGGTCCTGCGTGCCATGACTTCCACATGCATTCGTACTTCCTTCTCTCCCTGTGTAAGTTCCTGAGACCTCAGCCATAGTGCATCAAATTCTATTGATGACAGAGTCTCCAACCTACCCAATCGGTTCTGTGGGTGTGGCTACTCCACAGGCATGAGCTGTTCCCCCATGACCTTTGAACTTAACTAACTTCTGGGTGAAGCACTGAGCAGGGTAATATGGAGAGCAACAAGAGCGCCTTGTGCCCCCAACAAAGCTATTCTTACAAAGCCAGTGCTGGAGGCGGACCTGTGTGGACTCCCTTATAAATGCTGTCCCGTGTCTGAAGTTAGATGTGAAGGAGACAGGGATGGTCTGTGCCCCCTGAAGAAGCACAACTTGCCGACCCGATGGACTTCCTGGGGCTCTAACAGCTGACCACGGAGGAGGCCGCGCAGCAGAGGATGAACTATTAGGACATCCTGTTGCTTTTCTGTAGAATTACAGGGTGTTAGGAGAGACAGACAGGATCGGACAGGAGCAGCATGTGAGAGGCGAGTCCAAAGTTTACAGTGCAGTGCTCGCTTCGGCAGCACATATACTAAAACTGGAACGATACAGAGAAGATTAGCATGGCCTCTGCACAAGCTTGGAATGACTGAGTTGAGTCAGAGCTTACAATGAATGGCAGAGGGGATTCAGAACCGGTACCTCCTGGCTGGCACACAGAATCATCTCATGCTACCTACTGGGATGGCATCCTCTGCCGTCCCTGAGTGGGGTGGCCTGGTTGGTTTCTGCCCTGGGCCCTCGGTTTTCTCTTTCTGGATTCCCCAGGCCCCTGCTGCCTTGCCTACCATCTGGCCATTTCCTGATCCTTCCAGTGGAGCCCCTACTGGCATCCCCTCTGGAAGCTTTCCCACTCTCCCCATGGCCCCCCGCTTGGCCCAGCTCTCTGTTCCCATAACACTTCTTCAGGCTCCTCGGGACACTTCCACGATGGACCGAGGACTTGACCTTCAGCCTCCCTCTCTAGCCTGATCCCCTTATGAGAGTGGTGATGAGGCTTGCTGGCCTCCAGGGCAGTATCTGGAACAGACTGGGTGACGAGGAATGCTGTGTGAGTGACTAAACAAACCATGGACCAACAGACTCCTGGATGGGCAGCTGTTCCTTCTGAGCCCCCTGCAAAGGCCCTGGCTGTGCAGATCCATGCAGATGCCCTAGGGCTCCGGCCAGGACAGAGCTGACAGCCAGACCATCTCTGCAGGTGGGTGAGGGTCCAGTGCTGCTAATGGCCGCAAAGCAGACGAGCCACACATGCACTCATGCAGGCCTCTCATCTGTGCAAGAGCCTCGCCCAGTGCGCCTGTCTCCTGTGGGTCTGCTCAGCTGCTAAGGCTCGCTGGGACCCTCTGTACTCACTGACTCTGCCCCAGCTCAGGCCCTGCCACTTCCTGTGAGGCCAGGTTCATGGCTTCCACACAGCAGGTGAGCAGTTGGTGCCAGCACTGCTGCTGCTGCAGGAACCCCTGGAAGACTCAGTGCCCAGGGGCACAAGGACAGAGTCCTGCAGGCCTGGCACCCTCACCTTACCACGCCTGCTCACCTTCTGGAGGTTTTCGGGAACAATGGCTCTCCTTTCCTATCCTTCTCCAATATCCAGAGACTACCTATATTTCTTGGCTTCTGGCCCCTTTTTCCCTCTGGAGGGCCAGCCATGTGGCATCTTCCGGAAGCTTCTCTGCCTGCTGTCTGCTGCTGCCTCCCTCTTATGGGGACTTCTGTGATTACACTGCATCCCATCTGGATAACCCAGCATCTCTGCCACCCCAAGACATTGACCTAACCTTGTGAGCAAAGCCCCCTGTCTAGGAAAGGCAGCATGTTCCTGGGTTCTGGGGTCTGGACAGAGACACCCTGGGGACATTCTCCTGTCCACCACAGTCTTTCACTCAGACACTGTGCTATGACTCAGTGCTCTCCACTCAGGCTGCTGTATGACATGCCAGAAAAGCCAGAACCAGAGGAGAGCTCTAATACAGCCAGCGCACTCTCTCCACGGCCCTTCCCCAAACCTCGCTCCACACATCTGAGTCCACGTACGCTGTAGGCGTGGGTGTAGAGTCGCGCCTTCACGGTTGCGGGGACATTAGCAGTCTCTGCCAGGTCGAAGATGAAGAAGGGCGTTTTCATCCTGGGGGTGCAGATGGACACTGTCACACTCGGGCTCAGTCTCCCCACTTCTCCCACACAGCTGCACTGCTCGAAGCCTTCCCTGTGCTATTTGGAAATCTCTCAGATCCACCAGACTCTGGACCCACAGCAGGTGCACCTGCAGCCTTCACTACAGCATCTCCCAGTGTCCTCTGGGAGAGAAGAGTGCATTCCTCAGCACTTTGCAGGGCCCAGCTCATCCGCCTCCCCGCGCCCAGCCCTCTAGGTAAATGCTGATGCCAGAGCAGCCAGGAAAAGAGAGAGATTTGTGGGGTTTCTCAGCACAGCTGCGAAAGCACCCACCACGGTGGCTTGCTTCATGTGCGACCTGTTCTTGGGAGGTGGCCAGCCTCTCAGATGATGGGAGCCCGACCAAGTTGTACTTGGCACATCAATTCAAGCAAGACCTGCCCCAACAGTGAGCTGTTCCTCCTCCGGCGTGACTTCCTCCCAGCATTCAGGAATGTACAGACACAGGGAACCCGGTAATTCCAAAAGCAAGGCAGAGGTGTTGTGTATTCTGGTGTGTAAGATTATGAAATCTATGAATATGTGGGAGGGGCGGACTCTGAGAAGAGTCAACAGAAATCATACCCATTTTGACAAAACTTTGCCTGGGTTTCCAAAATTTTCTATGCCAAGCAAAGTGCCATTTTATTCCGTTTTCCATGCACTTTTGGGATTGTTCTCATACACATCTAATAAGTTCTTTAAAACAAGTGTTTGGCCCCAGGACTAGACCTGTAACAAAATACTAATTTTTCTATGTTGAAAATGCCACTTCACAAGAATATCTTTGCAACTTTTAGTTTGCAGTTGCATTTTTTGACAATTTCTTAGAAATCTCTTCACACAGGTTTTTGTATCACATCCTAAATCTCACTGCACAAGTGCAGAGCGGGAATCAATTTTCAAAGCTCTTTCTGGCTTTTCTTTTTTTTAAACTTGACATTATTAAAATATAGTCTCAGATTTGTGAGTGCTGGCAGTTCTAATGATTTTAAAATCATGGCTGGAACCCTTGGGCCTGGCGCGATGGCCTAGTGGCTAGGGTCCTTGCCTTGAACACACTGGGATTCCGTATAGGCGCTGGTTCTGATCCCAGCAGCTTCACTTCCCATCCAGCTCCCTGCTTGTGGCCTGGGAAAGCAGTCAAGGATGGCCTGAGGCCTTGGGACCCTGCACCCTTGTGGGAGACCTGGAAGAAGTTCCTGGCTCCTGGCTCCGGATTGGCAAAGCACCGGCTGTAGCACTCACTTGGGGAGTGAATCATCGGACAGCGGATCTTCCTCTCTGTCTCTCTTCCTCTCTGTATATCTGCCTTTGTACAAAAAATAAATCTTTTTTAAAAAAATCATGGCTGGAACCCGAAGTGCAAAAGCATCTTGTACGTGGCGGTGGGGCCTCTCTGCTAACAGGGGAAGGTACGGACCGGCCACAAGAAGGCTCAACTTTCCTTTCGCAGAAGCCGTCCCTGACAAAGTTGAGTGGCCAGCATCAGATGGCCGTGAACCCTGCAGCCCAGTCCTGAGCCAAGGCACCTCACACCCCCACCCTGTATTTTTGTTTTGTTTTGTTTTTATAAAGCAGAGATAATTTAACCTCTTCACTTTCTTTTTTGAGCTGGGAAGAAGATGATTGTGTGTGTTCATGAGGATGAGGGTTCAGAATGATCGCTCCCACGTGCTACAGTGACGACCACGCTTCCCCGCGCCCTCTAGGAGCCGCACCACAGCCTCGCTCTGCCACAAACAGCAAACTGCAAGCACAGACAAGCAGGGACTCACCTGGCTTGCCACATCTCTTCGTTGGCCACAGACTCCCAGGAGGATGGAGAAAACCTGCAGTTACAAGAAAACAGGCACACTTCCCATGAGCTGTGCTCGGTCGCTACAGACAGGCAAATAACTGGCTTTGTGATCTGACGAAGTCCACAAAACAGGCTGGTCTTGAAATGCTAACAGCCACCAACTAATGTGTTTCTTTTCCTTGCAAAGCTTCCAGGGTCAGGACTTTGGGTTTAAGTGTACATGCATCCCTTGGTCTGCATACTGAGCACCAAATGCCTTGAGGGAGCAAGGACAGAGCCAAGGGGCAGAGGCTGGAGGCATGTGGCGTGCCGAGCGATGGCACAGTGGGGAGGGTCGGGCAGAGGGGCACGGCTCCGGGTCAAAGAGCTGCAGGCAGGGAGGGCAGCGTGGGTCTGTTTCAACACTGGCCAAACCGCTGGCTCATGCTTCCTCCTCTTCCGCATCTGCTTGCACAGAATGGAGATAAGGATGCACGTAGTATCTGCCAGCTGTGTGAGGGGAATGTTGCTTGCTTCCGTGCCTTTTCTTAAAACTTATTTATTTTTATTAGAAAAGCACATTTACAGAGAGGACAGAAAAATCATCCAACAGCTGCTTCATTCCTCATATGGCCACAACAGCTAGAGCTGAGCTGAGCTGAGCTGTAGCCAAGAGCCAGGAGCTTCTGGGTCTCCCATATGGGTGCAGGGTCCCAGGGCTTTGGGCCATCCTCCACTGCCTTCCTAGACTGTAAACAGGGAGAAGGATTGGAAGGGGAGCAGCCAGGACATGAACTGGTGCCTGTATGGGATGTTGGCGTCTGCAGGCAGAGGATAAGCCAGTTAAGCCATCGTGCCAGGCTCGAAATACTGCTTTTTAAGTGCTTCTTCTGAGGGCCGAGGGTCAGAGTGCTGTCTTTAGACCTGACAGCCCATCTTTGCCACACAGCATCATGGACTCAAAAACCCACAAGGCCTTTTTCTATGCAAGCTCACCTGCACAAGCAGTAAGTCAAAGAATCCTTAATTGATTCATAGTTTAAAACAGGCAACGGAGTAAAGAGTGTATAATGTCTAGCTGGTGATTTGTTTTCTGTACAGAAGGGAGTGAATTCTTTGAAGAAATGCTTAAAGGAAGACTAGTAATGCCCCAAACATGACCAGCTGTTGTCAAGCATCTTCGGAGAAAAGTCACCGGGGCAAGTGGCACAGCACAGCAAGTTGAGCCGCTGCCTGCAGTGCCAACTTCCTGTATGAGTGCTAATTCAAGTCCTGGCTCTGCTTCTGATGCAGCTGCCTGCTAATGCACCTGAGAAGGCAGAAGATAGCCTGGTACTCGAGCCTCTGCCACCCACGCGGTAGACCCAGATGTAGTGCCAGGGTCCTGGCTTTGCCCTGGCCCTGTCCTGTCTGTTCTGGCCATCTGGGTAGTAGGCCAGAAGATGGAAAATTCCTCCCATGCTGCCACTTGCTTTTCAAAGAAATAAATATTGTTTTTAAAAGCTGCTAAAATCTCATTCTCCCCTGCAGTGAAGTTATCTGTCATTCCTGAAGAAAAGAGGACAAGTTGATGTACAAGGAAGAGGGTGATTTTTCAAGGTCAAGTACAGGTGATGAATCTTGTCCATCTACTTTTTAGGTCATGAGATACAGGCCAGTGAACAACAGAGCATTAAAAGGCCAGAAAGTGGGAGATGCCCCCATCAACCAAGCACTGTGGTACCCACCTAGCCACAGCCCCCACCCCATGCCCCACTCTCATCCCTCTGCTTTGTAAACAGGACAAGAAAGACATGCCCAATTTCTGTACCTGCTTTATGGACAATAAAAAATGTTAATAAAAAAACCCTAAAATTAAAAAAAAAATCTCCAAAAGGAGTGCCTTCTTTAGGCAACCAACAGTCACTGTGACTGCTTCAAAGCACAACTGGGGCTGGCACTTTGATGTAACAAGTTAAACTGCCACTGGTATGCCACATCGAGTCCCAACTGCTTCACTTCCCACCCAGCTCCTGCTAAGGTACCTAGAAAAGCAGCAGAGGATGGCCTGTGTATCTGAGCCCCTGTACCCACGTGAGTGACCCGGATAAAGTTCCTGGCTTCCCAGTCATCATGGCCATTTGGGAAGTGAACCAAGGAAAGACCCCTCTCTCTGTAACTCTTTTTTTCACATGAATACATCTTAAAAATCACAAAACAAAAAAATGACAACTTCTGTTCATACCACCCGTATTCTTCCGTCCAGTTGTAGAGATTCTGTGTAAGCTTAATCCATTCCTCGGGGTTGAACACCCACTCGGAGGAAACTAATTTGTCACAGGATCCCCAGGGCCACAGGGAATAGCTCTTCTTCCATGTGGGGTCACCTTCATGAATTCCTATGCAAACGAATGTTTCTTTTCTATTGAAAACAGGAAAACATAGGATGTATTTTTTAACTCAAATCTTGGTAACCGATAAGCCAATTTCAAATATTTGGTTTATTGAAATGTTTCCATAATAGGCTATATGAAATGTATCTTACAGTAAAAAGGTTTTTCAAGAGGCTGAAGAGAAGCAAACACACTTAAAAACAAAAACAAAACTACCCATTCCCATGTTATAAGAAATCACTTAGTGACAAGAACTGTGATCAAAATTACTGTGGTCTAGCTGGATATATGGAAAAGTTTGTGGAAAATGTAATTAAAACAAGTTTATTGTGGTGCAGAAATTCTGAAGTTTATTTACATAAGAGGTCTTCAAAAAGTCCGTAGAAAATGTGTGCTCTGAACAAATCTCAGGGCATTCAGACACATTCTGCAACAAAATACTGATCTTTTAAATTCCATTTTTCCCACAAAGTTTCTTGAAGCCTTCTTGTAGTTTATGAATAAAACTGATTAGACTGGAATAGTTCTTAGGACCTTCAAGGTGTGCAAAAATCAGTAATAGAGATGGTTTAAGCAAGCTTAGTTCATAAAAAATGGTACCGGGTATTGTGGCCCAGCGGCTTCAGATCTCTTGGGATGCTGGTACTTCTGCACCTGACTGCCAGTTTGAGTTCTGGCTGCTCTACTTCCTATCCTGGTTCCTGTTCATGAATGCATCCTGGGATGCAGCAGGTGGCGGCTGAAGGCTTTGGGACCCTGTCACACCACCTGGGGGACCTGGCAGGAGTTTCAAGACTTCGGCTTTGGTCTGGCCCAGCCATCCAGGGAGAGGACCAGCAGACAGATGGGAGATCTGGCCCTCTGCCTTTTAAGGGAATAAAAGAAATAAACATTTTAAAAATGAGAGAAAAAGAAAAATGAATATTAGTTCTATTCCAATGCGTGGTTTATGCTTTGTCTGTGAGTGTGGGGGTAGGAGGCAGCAAGTAAGGAAAAACTATTTCAAAGTACAACACTGTTTGAACTTTGAAACAACATGTTTCTAGATTAGACTTTAGATTGTTCCCACCTTTCATATAATGATTTTGGAAAAATTACTTAACTACCTGCATCTATTCTCAGCTGTGAAATGACTCTGATAACCACCTTTCAGATCTAAAGAAAAATAACAGGACTTTGGTTTACACTATGTTTTCAACAACAACAACAATAAAAACATGAGAATTGCTTGTTTATTTTTATTGGAAAGGAAGATTTACAGAGAAGGGGAGAAACAAAGATCTTCCATCTGCTGGCTCACTCCCCAATGGTCACAACAACCAGAGCTGAACCAATCCGAAGCTGGGAGCTTCTTCCAAGTCTCCACGCAGGTGCAGAGTCCCAAGGCTTTGGGCCATCCTCGATTGCTTTCCCAGGCCACAGGCAGGGAGCTGGATGGGAAGTGGAGCAGTCGGGACACAAATTGATGTCCATATGGGATCCTGACGTTTGAAGGGGGTAGTTTAGCCAATAGAACCATTGTGCAGGGTCCCTGTGGGATGCCTGCACTTGAAGGTGGGGGATTATCTAGTTTAACCATGGCACCAAATTTGTCAATTTAAAAAATGTACTTGTCAATTTTGAATGCTAGGACCATATTTTTTTTTAAATTATGAGAAACTATTTCTGGGGCCAGCACTGTGATACAGTGGGTTAAGATGCCACTGTGGGGGCCCGGCGCGGTGGCGCAAGTGGTTAAGGTCCTCGCCTTGCACGCCCGGGATCCCATATGGGCGCTGGTTCTAATCCCTGCAGCCCCGCTTCCCTTCCAGCTCCCTGCCTGTGGCCTGGGAAAGCAGTCGAGGACGGCCCAAGGCTTTGGGAACCTGCACCCGCGTGGGAGACCCGGAAGAGGCTCCTGGCTTCGGATTGGCATAGTATCGGCCCGTTGCGCTCACTTGGGGAGTGAATCATCGGACGGAAGATCTTCCTCTCTGTCTCTCCTCTCTGTATATCTGCCTTTCCAATCAAAAAATAATAAAAATAAATCTTTAAAAAAAAAAAAAGATGCCACTGTGGGATGCTGGTATCCTGTAAGAGTCCTGGTTGGAGTCCTGGCTGCTTGCTTCTCATCCAGCTCCTGCTAACATGCAGGAACAGCAGCAGAAGGTGGCCCATGTGGCTGGGGACCCTGCACCCACGTGGGGGACCAAGATGCCAGATGGGGTGCCCACTCTTGACTTCAGCTTGGGACTATCTAGGCCATTGCAACCATTTGGGGAATGAACCACAAAATGGGGACATCTTTCTCTCTTAGCTCTGCCCTTCAAATAAATAACAAATATCACCTTTCTTTAAAAAATTCCTTGTTCTGCAATGGATGCATACCACTTTTTAAGTAAAAAAAAATATTTTCAAAACTGACACCAAAAATTCTGAGATGTTTAGTGGCCAACAATATTTTATAGGCCAGGGTACTCCTCACTCTGCAAAAGCCTAGGAACAACAAGTTCAAAATGAATAGAATATTTATTCGATAATTATGCATTCCATGAGAATACTGTAACAGTCACAAAATAATAGTGATTAATGGGGAAAAAAATGGACCAAAAAGCAGGATATTCTCCCAGCTACCTAAAATATAGCATGTGTGTAAATATCTAACTGTGTATGTGAATAACAGTAATAGTTCATGGAACAAATCAATGGCCTCTGAGAAAGTGTGCTGAGATGTTAGTGGCAGTCATCCCTGAAGGAGAGATGATACTTTTGGTCTTTGTACTTTTCTGTGTTGTCTGAGGACGTTCCCTAAGGAACACACTAATTTTCCCTGAAGCTGTTCTTGGAGCGTGGCAGACATCCAACTTCTGAAACACAAGTTATATAAATGTTGTCAGGCAATATGAATGGATTCCTCATCCATGCACCCAGAACACTGAGCATATATATCGATGACACACTCCACAGAAAGATGCATGGAGTCTTTACAGACCACTAGCATCAGACTGACCCCATCTCACTGTGCTCAGCTGCGTGCTCAGAGCTGTGCACGTCTACACTGGACTGGGGTCTATCCAAATTTGGAGTTGTCTCATTCATTTTTACATCACTGAGGCCTAATAAAATCCGTAACATGGCATCTGCTACCCTCTCTATGGATTCAAGTAAGTAAAGCTCATAGAAACACCAATGTGTGAATTTTAAGGTTCTTAATCTTCTCCAGAACAGCGTAAGCCAATATTATTCTTACAGGACCTGTATATCGTTTGTCACCTGTTGTATCATTCCATGAGCCACTGTAAACACAGCTCAGGCACCACAAACACTGTGTTGGTAAGTCCTTAGCAAGAGATTGACAAAGATCTTGTGGAGTCTTCTTGGCAAGAATAAAGAAATCATGAAGTGAAACTTTCTTTTGCAATCTGTGAACCATCCCAAGCATTTCACGAACAGAGAAATATTTAGCATCACACCACTGAGGGCATTTACTCTTGACCTTAACTTGGAATACTCTCAGGATCTCAAGTACAGAATTCACAATTCTCATATTTTATCTCAGCTAGCATAAACTGTGGGTGTTTTTCTTATTTATAAAACTGTCTTATCCTTTCTAAAAAAAAATCTAATGCTATTTTTATAGAGTGATTATTCCTACAACATTTGCTTTCCACTTAAAAGGAGGCCATGGTGCTGATCGGGGGGGAAACTATAATTGCTTGTGGTCCACCTGCCATGATTTCAAGTAGGCAGGCACATCTCCAATTTCTCTGAATTGTACTAAGATCTTATTTGCTGTTCTTGCTAATCTGTTTTTATTTTTCCTTTACCCAGAACAATAACATTTATTTCTGCCTGGCCTCATTTATGCACAGATATTCAATTTAATTACAAAGATAATCTCAGCGGTGACAGGGAAATAGGTATAGAAAATTGGTCTTTTCGATGAGGCACAGCTGCTATAGAAACAATTTTAGAAAGGCTTAAGAGTTTAGAAAAGCTATTATATGAAAATAATGCTTACTGTTTATTTATTTCAAGAAAATGATGAAGATTAAATGTGACCATTCCGCTGGGTAATACTCCTTCCACAGGACTCCATCGGCTCCCAGGAAAGCGGACACCTGGCAAGTGCTTGGCCATCTTGGGTAAATACCACTCGTAGGTCATCATCTGCCAGAGACCACACAGGGAGTCATGCTTTGTAACTGAGCTCTTAAAAAGAAGGACCAAGAGTATCAAGCACAACATGGCACACAATGGGAGGGCTCCATGTTGTCAATCCCCTGGTAACACAAACATGACTCAGGTGTGTGGCCTTGGCCGCTTTTTTAATGATCTCAACTTCAGATTTGTTTTTTAAAGATTTATTTATGTTTATTGGAAAGTCAATTTACAGAAAGAAGGAGATACAAAAAGATTTTCCATCTACTGGTTCACTCCCCAAGTGAACACAACAGCTAGAGCTGAGCTGATTTGAAGCCAGGAGCTTATGCCGGGTCTCCCATGTGGGTGTAGAGTCCCAAGGCTTTGGGTTGTCTTCCACTGCTTTCTAGGCCATAAGCAAGGGGCTGGATGAGAAGCAGAGCAGCTGGGACACGAACGTTGCCCATCTGGGATCCCGGTGTATGCAAGGCGAAGATTTAGTCACTGAGCCATCACACTAGGCCTATAACCCTGGATGTTCTTAAGAGATCTCTCTCACTGGTCACATTGTTACCTAGTTTTTTATCACCCCACATATCTGAGTTCCCAGAAAGATGGCCCTCCATTCCTTCCTCTGCACGAGTACATTGAACTGCTTATTTTATCAATCCTAAAATCTCCCACTTCCAGACTACTCATTGTGAGAGATAAAAATTCCACAGTCTGGGGCTGGTGCTGTGATGTAGTGGGTTAAACCCCAACTCACAGTTACCAGCATCCCAAATGGGCGTCACTTAAGAGTCCAGGCTGCTCCACCTCTGATCTATCTCCTTTCTAATGTGTCTGGGAAAGCAGTGGAAGATGGCTCAAGTTCTTGGGCCCTTGCACCCATACCTGGGACTTGGAGGAAGTTTTTGGCTCCTGGCTTCAGCTCAGCTCAGCTCTGGCCGTTGTGGCCATTTGAGAAGTCAACTGGTGGATGGAAGATCTCTCTCTTTGTCTCTTCTTTTCTCTGCAAAGTTGCTTTGCAAATAACAAATTTTTAAAAATTCATAGTCTAAGCTGCTCTTAGCATTTTGTTTCTATGTTGAGAAGCATGCTAACATATATTAATTACTTACATTTTATGTACAAGCAAACAGACGCTCAGACTGGGAAACTCTTCAGGATCATTTACATACCAGGAAGTGACAGAATGAGGACTTGCATCTAGGTCTAATTCACTTTGAAATTCATGCTTCTTAACTGTAGTCCTGCCATTCTAAATCGTATTTAAAATCACAGGGTGTCACCATGTTATCAACACATAACCTGGTGCTTTCAGAAGCTAGACTCTGCACATGATCTAAACGCAAACTGCTCACAAAGAAACACGTGCCAACTGCCCTATCGAGTATTTTTTGCAAATGTTTCGTTTCCTCCCAAAATTCAGCTTAATCTTTCATTCAATGCAATTTATTAATAAGCATTGTGCCTAATAATTTGCTCAACTGAACTAATCATATTACTCTCCAGATTAAGAATTTTCCTTTTCCTGATGACTGCTCTAAAAACTTTTGCCTTTTACATAAGATTGGAATAATAAATCCTTTGGTTTAAATCTGGTTCTTCAGTTCCAGAAAATTATTTTAATAGCTATTGAAAATTTCATAAGTCTTGTCCTAACATACTGTCACAGGACTAATCAAGCTAATATAAAAAAATCTATTGTGTAATTGTGATTTTTTTCTCTCTTGAGTGAAATGTTTTTTTATCTACAGTATCATTTATATTCAACTCACTTTTTAAAAAATCCTGGGCCACTGGGCAGTGTTAATTTGAATGGATGAGTTTGACTAAATGAAAAAAATATGTATCTACAATGCAGTAAGCATGTGCATGGGCTGTTACATAATCGAGAAACCTACAATGTTACTTGCATTTAGCATGAAACATGTTAATTCTTAAAAGCATCCAGTTTAAATGAAAAAGAAACAACCCACATGATTTATACTACTAAAAAAAAAGATATATATTGTACCTCATCGAGATTACAAAAATAGGATCCATTCACTGTTTTTTTTAAAAAAATCCATGTTTTAAAATGATTGTTCCAGCTTGTTTTGATCCACTTACTTCCTGATCCACTAAGCTCAGATCTGGCCTGAGCCCCTCGCAGTAATGCATGTAGCGAAGAGAATTTCCTGGCAAGTCCCCTCTCAGTAAGATGATCGCATCACGAGGCATGGAGGCCAGAAGGTTCTTGGCAAACTTATCGATCACATAGTTGGTCCTCTGGTCACAAATGCTAAAGAGGATCAAATAAATTAGAACAGCAACTTCCTGCTACGCTCTTAATTAAGACTAGAATTATTTTCCACAGCATTCCTTTCCCATCGCACAATCTACCTTCAGTGTTTCAAAGCATTCTAATCTATATTCCTCTAAGAGGAGGTGCATGTGTTTGAAAAGAACTCTATTATCTGATTTAAAAAAAAAAAGTGGGAGGGGTTGACTGTACAATAGTCAGTGGGCTGCCTCACTTCTGGAATCTATCATCATTCCACACACTACCCACCCCCAACCTAAACAATCTAATTCCATTTTTCATAGCGTTTTTGGTTGCATTTGTGATTTAAGGTAACTGCATGCTTGTTGCAGTCACTCCAAAGGAACTTTCAGGAACACGAGGGGGAGACTGCCAGCATCTGACCCCCTTTGCAGGACATCGTGCAGAGGGTGGCACTGCCCTGGCTCCCGGCTCGTGGGCACTGCAGACTTCAGGCATGCCCCCCTGCCTTCCAGGCTGGGCAATGGCACGCGAAGGCAGGGACTGGTTTTGCAACCGGCTTACTTATCTGCAAGACGTTATCTGCTATTGGCAAGAACAACAGTACAGCTCTTTTCCAGAGTGAGGGGACTTTCTTATTTCAAAAGAACAAGCGGCACGGATTATGAGAGCTTCCCGGAGCAAACAGGAAAAAGACTCCGAGGGAAGTAACGGTCTCCAGCCTCGGGGACAAGCAGCGCCTCTCCTGTTGGCTCTCAGGCCCACTGCTGAGATGGAGCTGGGAGAGCGCCTCCAGTTGCTGGGTTAGCACCACAGAAGAAGCAGACCACAAAACAGAGTACCGCCCTGCCTCTGTCAGCCACAACAGAGGCAGATGTCGCCTGGGATTCCCTACAAGCCAGGATGTTGACTCACACCGTGCCACCCAGGAAAGCTGCGGCCTATTCTCTTCCCCTGGGACAAAGCAAAACAACACAGCAAGATACAAACATCCCATCTGTGCAAGCCTCCTTGGTGTTGAACCAGGACTGTCCCAACAAAGCAAATCGGAAGAGTGGCATTGAAAAAAAAGTGGGGGAAGGGGAGAAGAAACATGTGGGGGACTTGGAGCTTGGTGACTGAGTTGTGACACTCAGTCGCTTTGAGAATTCCTGGTGACATGGCCTTCTGACATGGGCTCCTGCCCCGCATTCTGAAGGACACGGTACAGCATGTTAAGAGTAGTTGAAGGAAGAAAACGTTATCTTCTAGGATGCCAGTCAAATCACATGGTAACCACACTCCAAATGACTCAAACTTCCACTAGAACGAGCTGACATAGAAAACTCACACGTACCCTATGTTAGACTGGGATTTTCCACCTGAATAGCTATTAGTCAGAGTTTGAAAAACACACAGATGACTAATAACTGTGAGAGTTAAGACACTAAGAGCTTAATTTAAAAATAATTGGTATTAACCCCAGCTGGATAAGTGGGACAAGGAGCAGGCATCACTCGAAGGGCGAGGTCCCTGAGCATCCAGTGTGTATGTCAGGCACACACGAAGCCCCAGTCCCTTTGGCCTCCACCTGAGTGGTATTCTGGATCCTGGAAGTTTCCATATACTCCAGGTTCGCCAAGGTTTCTCAAGGGTTCCTAACAAGGAAATACACAGGTTATGTGCCCCGCCCAACTCCCTGCTTGCTGCCACCGGTGACCCACGCATCAGCCACTCAGAACTGTGGGTCAGGAGGTTCAACACACGCAAAGTGCAGGGCTTCTGCCTTTACTCAAGCTGCTGCCCCCTGAGTTTTGCACACCAGCGGAAACTAAAGATGAGAAAGTCCTGGGTCCTAAATATCCAAGTGTCTCTGGCTTGTGTGCTAAGTCCCACGTTAAGAATAACAATGCATCACCTGTAATTGCAGTATATTTGGTAAGCCACGAAAAGGGTGGCGGAAAGCCACTCCAGACGCTGAGGCCCGCTGCCGCTGAGCAAGCGGCCACTCTCCGATGCAAGCGCAGCCAACCCTACGCCAGCGAGGACAGCCACCACGGCATTGCTCTGCATCCAGAACCGCTCCACCTGCGGGAGAGTCACGTCAGCGCCACATCCTGCTCCAGCTGCCTTCCGTCCTATTCTGGGATGGCCCTGCTTCCCAGAAGGGCATGGTCATGCTCACTTCACACTCAGCTGCCACCGTCAACTCCAGCCGAACGCCAGGTGCAGGAGGCAAATATGCCTTCCTAAACTCCTGCGGGTGCCTTCTGCGGACTGACTGTCTTTTGGAACACGGACCCTTCTGGGATGCAGTGTAAGGAAGTCCCCTGGCCCACGTACAAAGCACGTTCTCTAGTGGCGGCACTGTGAGCAATACAGCTAATGCTCTCACCCAGCATAATGGCTTATCTTGTTTCTCAAGAGGTCTGGAATTCAGGCGCTCATCATCAAGTGGGGTATTCTTTGCACCCCATCCATTCCCTGCCCTGCACTTAATTTAGCTGGCAAAAAGAGCTGCCCACATTCGGTTCACTTCTTTCTTTGGGAGGGAGGTGGAGAGCGCACTCCTCTGCTGACTCCTCCAGGGCCTGTAATGGAACTCCGCCTGGCTTTCCCGCTGGGTGGAGGGACTCTGCCACTTGAGCCACTGTCTGCCGCCTCCTAGGACAGCATTAGCAGGATGCTGGAACTGCAGTGCAATGGCAACAACAATACAGCTATTCAAAAAAAATCTAGGAAAAATACACTTGTACCAATATTCACAAACATACACATGCATACACACACACGCAACTTCTAACTTTTTATCTTAGAATCATTTTTTTTAATTTGTGTTAACAATGTAGTTTTTTGTTCCCTGAAGAGGCTTCAGCCTTGATCGTTCAATAATTTTAACTGTTTAAAATTTACTCATTCATTGATTTAATTTGAGAGAGGGCGGAGGAAGGGGTAGGAGGAGAGGGGAGAAGAAATGAAGGTGGTCAACTTTTGGTCGAAGGATAGAGTTAAGCCAAACTTACCACACCCATGAAAAGCGGTTTTGAAATATCTAAATTTGCCCTCCAAGCAAAGAACAATGAATAAATGCAAAACATTCCAGTAAAAAGCCATATTAATGATTGATTCTGTTTGTCCCTACAAAAAATAGAAATATATTCAAAATTATGTATCTGTAAGAATAGCAGTAATAATAATGCATTGCCTTAAACTATTAAGGAAAAAACAGTCAAATCCTAAAACATCGCATTTCCAACTAAGAACAAAGAAGGATCTGAAGTTGAAAAATTGAAACTGAAACAGATCCCTGATGAACCTGAATTATATGTTGTAAACAGCTTGCAACTATGCGGCAAGAAGATATAAAGTTAACATTCATAGCAGACCAAGTACAACTACCAATTTTGTTACATTTAACAAGCAATCAAAACAATATTTCTGTGCTCAAAATGTTTTGAAATGACAAAGCTTGACGTTAGGTAGGAACGCAGAAATGAAAATGCACATCAGTGTAATCTTTTGAAAAAAGTTAATTTGATAGTATCTCTCCACGGTGTTCGTAGTCATTGATGCGGTTATTGACAGGAATAAATCTCCAAGCAATAACCAGAAATGTACATAAAAATTAATCCACAAACGTGCTGTTATTATAGCAGTGGAAACAATGCAGGCAACGTAAAGAACCTGAAACTGAATAACATTTTAAATTGGCTCTATTCTGCTCATAGGGTGGGATCTTACACAGATATTTAAATTACTTTAAACAATTTTTAGGATATGGGAAATGTTTGTAAGATGTTACGCAAACAAAACTATAGGGATTTGTACATATACACATTTACTTACAAACATGAGAATATTTTAAGTTGATGCAAAAAAAAAAAAAAGGTGTTAAAACACAGGTTCACAGGTTGAGGGCATGGGTATTAATCCGGTGGTTTGGCTGTGGGCTGCGGTGACCATGTACCTGGGTCCATCGCCGGCCCTAGAGTCCCACCCCAGTTTCCCGTTATGCTGAGCCCAGGGGACAGCAGTGAGGCCCCAGGTCCCAGGATGCCTGTCACCTCCCCGGAGCCCTGGCCGAAGCTCCTGCCTCCTGGCCTTGCCTCTTCCTGCCATCACTGCGGGCATCTGAGGAACCAACAAGCAATGAGTTCCTGCTCTCTGTCACGTTATAACTTGTTCTCTTTCTCCGCATCTCACATGAATAAAACTTAAAAAACAGGTAAGTTTATTTTGGGGCCCAAAACTTGGATATTGATTCACACTTATGTCACAATACACATTTTCTCTTTGCAGATATCTTATACATATCCTGGAAAGTAAATGACTGAAAAATTAATGCATGTTCAGAGGCCTGAGGTCTTCACTGTGGTACTGTGGTACTGTGGGTTAAGCGGCCACTCACGATGCTGACATCCATGTTGGAGTGACATTTCAAGTTTGGCTCCTCCACTTCCAGGCCTGCTCCCTGCCAATATGCCTGGAAAAGCAGTGAGTAATGGCCCAGTGCTGGGACCCCAGCCAGCGCATGGCAGACTCAGCCAGGGCTCCTGGCTCACAGTTTGGGCCTGGCCCAGCCCTGCCAGCTGTGGTCATTTTGGATTGTGAAACAGTAGGTGGCAGAGCTGACTCTCTGTCTCTCTCCCTTTTACACTGTTGCTCTGCCTTCCAAATCAATCAATCAATTTTTTTTTTAAGTTGATGGAAGCTAGTAGTGCGAAATTTTAAGCTTCCTTCTGTCATCAGAGGAATTCACATAGTAGTTTTTTCTGCAAAGCAAGCAAAATAACTGCTTGTGGGCACAGCAAGCAATGATAAAACCACAATGTAAACATAATAAATGCATGGACTTTTAAAAAAGATGTATTTGTTTGGAAGAGTGACAGAGAGACAGGGCGAGACACGGAATGTCATCTGCTTGGTTCACTCCCCACATGGCGGCCGTGACCAGGGTTAGGCCAAGCGGAGGGCAGGAGCCTGGAACTCCATGCAGAACTGCAACACTTGGGACAGAGTCAGCTGCCTTCCCAGGTACGGTAACAGCCAGGACTCAGTAAACCGCTGCTCATATGGGATGCCAGCATCTCAAATGGCACCTTAACGCGCTGTGCCACAACATTCAAGTTGCCTATTGAGACCATAATATATTATCAAAAAAAGATACTGACTTTTTATAGGAAGGAAAAGGAAGTTAGCAAGAATTAAATATACATTTACCTTAATAGAAGTGGTCAGGACTATAAAATATGCTCTACTACAATAACATAGAAAACATTCATTCATGAACATGGGAAAAAATGTAGGAAAAGGAATTATAATACTCACTTTCTTACAAGACTTATATTTGCCCAAACTGCAAGGGCTTGGATATTGAATGAGAGTTCAGTCTTCATATTTGTTATTTGAGAACTGTAAAATAAACAAAAAAACAGCTTAGTGATAGCAGAAAACATGTTTAATTCCAAATAAAATCTTTGTAAAATCTATTCAAGTATACACTGAACAATTTTAGGGTTTGGAACCACATTTTAAAATACTGTCTGCTCTGAAACTGAAGTTACACTGTTCTAAGATGTTTTCCAATGACTGAACACACGTCACGTGGGACAGGATCAGGCCAAACAGTGTGATGCTGGTACACTGGGTAACGTTCCCGACGGGCTTGCTAACAAGCTGTCTAAACTGAGTTTTGAATTTTCTTCTCATGACAGGACAGACCCAGTGTCCAGGGGTTTAGCAACCAAGAACAAAACTCAGTTTGAGTAATTTTTCTGGAGATCGAGGTATGAAGAAAACGGCAGCAATTCCAGTGATTTGTGGTGTTACTTTCTGGGTCATCTTCCTCCTGAAAAGGCTTCCTTGCTTTCTATATTGTTTGGTTCGGAAAATACTTGCGCTGTCTCAGGGGAACACATTCTTTTTCCCCCTATGAGTAAGCCAGTTTCCCCATTAACTAACGCACACTTTGCAGGTGCTGTGTGGGTGCTGAGACACCGACTGCTCCAGGAACCTTCCAGTTTCGTATTATCCTTCATCTCAGAGAACTTTTTCCTCCTTTCTGGCCGTTTTACAGGAAAACATGGGATGCCATCATTATGGAAACCACACAATGTGCATTTGACTAATGGAGCCTCATCTACCACCAAGCAGTATCCTTCCTCCTTTTCAGACACACTCGAAAAATTGATTCCAGCATGAGGCCCATTTCTGACCATTCTTCAAAAGAAATGAAGTCCGTCTCAAAATTAATTCTTGGAGATCCGTTGCTTCAATGTAAGCTCTAAATGGTGGTCACTGCCTAAGGTTAGATTCAACAATTTCCCTGCACAGGGTTTGGAATTGAGAGATATGCAGGGGGAAGAATTTAATTTGCTTGTCTGGGAAGGGTAGATGACTAGGGTTCATAATTTTGAAGGATTTCTCTCTGAAGTTCATTGTCGGTGGCCTTTCTGCATAGCCCTGTCCACCTGAAACAGATTCCCATGCAGAGGGCGCAGGGAGCAAGCCTTCTGTCTGCATGATGGCCGGATGCCCACACACTGTGGGTATAAGACAGCATCACTTTATTCTGGGACAGAATCTAACTGCTGCTATTTTAGGGTAAAAAAAAAAAAAAGTTAAGTCGGCCCAATAGATGATTTCACTGTGTAACGAAGGAGAGCTAGGCATAAGGTCTAGGATTACCGGGGAGGGGCCTTTCAAGCTCACACACGATGTGTTAAGGCCAAATATCCCAGTCATTCTGACAGCTGCAACCAGCGCCCCAGGAAGGTGAGGAGCGAGGGGCAGCCCACGAGGCTGTCGCGGAGCGTGAGGCGTGAATGAGTGAAGCTCGCAGGTGGTGCTAAAGCTGGCTTTAACTCTGAAAGGAGACCAAGCTTCATATCTCCTTTCCCCAACAAGAAAGAAGAAGGCAATACAGGTAATCCTAGTTTCCTTATTTTTAGCTACCAGTATTTCCTGTATTTTGATAACAACTGTGTACCTTTTTTGCATTAGGAAAAAAAAATTGTTCGAAGAGAAATGACGGAAACTAAGGGGCCCAGCGTGATAGCCTAGTGGCTAAAGTCCTTGCCTTGCATGCGCCGGGATCCCATATGGGCGCCGGTTCTAATCCCGGCAGCTCCACTTCCCATCCAGCTCCCTGCTTGTGGCCTGGGAAAGCAGTTGAGGACTGCCCAAAGCCTTGGGACCCTACACCTGCATGGGAGACCCGGAAGAGGCTCCTGGCTCCTGGTTTCATTGCAGACTGACTTCTAGCCATTGTAGCCATTTGGGGAGTGAACCAGTGGATGGAAGAGCTTTCTCTCTGTCTCTCCTTCTCTCTGTAAATCTTTGTAATAAAAATAAAGAAATCTTTAAGAAAAATAACATAAGAATTTTAAGAAAAGAATTTATATCTGCTTTAGATATAATGTTAAAAGATTTTTCTCGATAATTTGTTCAAGTAGCCTCAGGGATACCAAGTCAGAAATTAGTTAGAAGTTTACATTACTGTTATAGAAACCTCTTTTCCTCCAAAATTTTATAATGTAAATATTTTAAGTAGTAAGGGTATTTTCCAAGTTGTCTTAATCTGTGTAGGTTTCAAAGCAAATAAATATTAACTCGCTTCTCCAAAGAACACTACTGGACAATACAGATTAAAAATACTTGCTCACGCTGGGCCTAATAAAATTGGATGTTAAAAATATGTACGTCAGAAACAGAGCTCATACAAACAGCCTTAAGGAAGTGACAAGAAATAAATATGGTGAAAGATTTAAGAGAATTAAAATACTTTAAATGGAAATGACAAGAAAATAACTGTTCAACTGGTGTGGAATACAATGTTTCAGAATGTCGCAGAAGGCGAGGTGATACAAAAGCGAGGGCAAAGAATAAATTATCTATATGGCAACACAACGCTGCCTAACTCTGCATCCGACTGGAAGGTGAAACATTTAATTCTCTAGACTCAATGAGGTCTCCTAACATCCTTCTTCATGTTGTATTTACTGTTCACTTTGAGTCTTTTCTCAGTGAAGACAGGGATGGGATGCCTGACAACTGTTAACTGGCCACATGCAAACGGCATGTCCGATACCTCCTCTTAAAGAGACAGAGCAGAGCCCACACCCAGGGACTCCTAGAGAATTCAGCGAAAAACAATTTCAAATACTTCGTACTCACAGTAACATTTCAGACATACTGGATCCTACTTCAGATTTGGCCTAAACACAAAAAAGAACATTTTATCTGCATAAGTATTAGATGCAAGCTTTGTGAGGCCATTGCATTCTAATGATTTTGGTTTAAAAGACAGATGTTTTAAATGGACACTGCAGTATCTTTCTTCAAAGTCTTTACCTCAAAGCATCACTGAATTTTTTAAGAGGCAACAGTGAAAACTAAACATGGACATCTCTAGTTAACAATTTACAAAACAACAATTGGCCGGGGAAGGGCTGTGGCATAACAGGCTAATCCTTTCCCTGCAGTGCTGGTATCCCAGACAGATACTGCCGGTTTGTGTCCCAAATGATCCACTTGTAATCCAGCTCCCCGCTAATGCTGCTGGGAAGGCAACATAAGATGGTCCAAATACCTGGGCCCCTGCTACCCAGACGGGAGACCCACATGGCATCCTGGCTCCTGGTTACAGCCCGGCCCAACCCTAGCTATGGTGGCGATTTGGGGAGTGAGCCAGTGGATGGAAAATCTCTGATTCTCTCTCTTTCAAATGAATATACTTAGTCACAGCCCAAGAGTCCTGAGTGGGACGCAACACCAGAAGGCTGAAACACCCTGGTGAAGGGTCAGGCTCCTCTGCGTGCTTGTCACCCCAGAAAGCAGGTGCAGGACACAACCCCGCAGTGTTGGCATGACCAAATCTGATGGCTTTATAACCCAGGCTGAAGGCCACACTCCAAGGACAAGCTTGTCACAGACAAAATGGAAATAAAAGATCTTGCTGCCGCCACAGGCAGAGAACTGGGAGTTCTGACATTTATTTCCTTTGAAGGGTTTTAAACGCAAATGTACCAGGCTGAATGTCCCATATTCCTCCCTGAGAAAATGTGTCAGAAAGCCCAGCAGCGTCGTCTGGTCTCCCCAGGTCCACCGGGCTTGGCCGAGGTAGGATGAGACTGGCAGGTAGACGTAGGGCAGCAGACCAGCAGAGAAGCAGGCGCCAAGCTTCAGCACCACGCCCACGGACAGTTCCTGCAGTGGAGCACATGAGGTTGGCAGGACCACGTTAATTTTAGTTGATGCATCTTGGAACGTCAGGGGAAACATCAAATATGTTTACACAGGGCTGATCTCTCCATTTATATTAAGTCACCATAGAGTACAATGCTAAGCCTTCTGATTACTGTGGATTACTAGAAAATTGCATCAGCTTTGCAGGAACTCCTTTGCATGGAAGGTGGAATCTGAGGGAAGCAAATATTAGCCGAGACTCTCGAATGTCGTGTTTACTGCACCTGTCATGTTTCAAACCACTGCACAGCTGACATAACCCACTTGCCTGGTTGAGTTGGAGTATGTCACAAAGATGGCTGCACTATCAGTTCACTGCCCCACTGTTCTCAAGAGCAGACCACAGCTGCAAACAAACCCTATCACAATTACACATTCCCAACATCATTCTTTCCACAACCATTTGGACATATCATGGAAATGTCTGGTACGAATAAATGAGTTTTTCTGTAACCTCCAGGCTCATCCAGATGCTTTCCCTCCTTCGTTTATTAAAGCAAACCTGTGTAGCAATGTTGTCCCATTTACCCTGCTTGAGGGAATACAGTTCCATTATGTACATTTATTTTTATTTATTTATGCATTTACTTGAAGGATCAAGGGATCTCCCATGCACTGGTCACTCCCTAAATGTCCACCGTAACTGGGCCCGGGCCAGGCCAACACCAGGAAGCAGAACAGAACTCAATACAGGCATCTCATCTGGAAGGTACGTACAGGATGAACCCGAGAACTTGATGTGCATTAGGAGGAAACTGGATCAGAACAGAGCCAGGATTTGAACCCAGAAACGCCAACTTGGAATACAGCTTATCACAAGCACTGTCTTCGCCTCTGTGTCAGACCTGCATATTTCTAAGACAAGGGGCAGTACCGCTGTGGACTCTGCGACACCAGAAAGGTTCAGACACCGGTGACTTAGTGACTGGGAAGAGGGGTCTCCCGCACACACTGTGCCTGGAAACTGTCAGCTTCCACTTTACAAAACGGAGAAACTCCTATGAGGATTAATACAAGAACCAAAGTTTGCATTCACCAGAACTCGCAGCTGATTGATATTAGCATTTTCAAATAAACATTCTTAATTGAAAATGAAGTGTTTTTATTTTAGTAGTGATTTCATTTGAGATTTCTACAGAAAGTAATGAGATACATAAAATCTGAATGCATGAAAAGAGGGTAGAAATATCTAATCTCACCACGTGCCTTTGCTGTTCTGAAAGGGGTTTGAAGGAAAGTTAATCTATATTGTTGCAGCTTCTGAGTATTACAAACATGAATTTAGAAGGCAAGATGCAGCTGCTCTAGAAGTTTGCTTTAGTGTGAGAAACAAGCAGGAGACATCACAGGCGAAGCTGTTCAGGGTCCTGGCAGCGTTGCTCAGTCCTACTGCCCCAAGGCGATCACCGGGGTTTCATGAAACTACCCATGTCTGTCTCACCACACATCAGTCCTACTGGCATTCTTTGAGAGAGCGAGATCAGGCATCTGCGTAAACATACCATGGACCTATGGAACACATGTATACATATATACCTATCTCTCTGTGCACGTATGTGCACACACACAGTTTTCAAGCTTCCCAGACAGATCCAGCACTGTTGTTCAGAGGGCTAAGCCACTACTGGGGATGCCCGAGTGCAAGAACTCACTCCACTTCCAAGCCGTCTTCCTGCTAACACACCCTGGGAGGCGGCAGAGGATGGCTCAAGTCCTCGGTTCCCTGCACCCATGTGGGAGGCCCAGATGGCGTGCCCGGCTCCGGACGGTGGCCTGGCCTGCATCTGGCTGCTGGTGACATTTGGAAAGTGAACCAGTGCTAGGAAGAGCACTGCCTTTCTGGCTTTCAAATCAATAAATAATACCTTCTTTAAAAAAAAAAAAGCTTCCCACATAATTTAAGTGATTGAAATGAATGACTAGGGACTTCTTGCTTTACCTCAAATCACCTATTTAAACAATGGAAATGAAATGCATGCTTAAGAGTCTTGGTTTCCCAAATTTCTCCTATATTCATCAGTAGCTCATCTAGCGCAGGTATGTGAATTTACGCTAAAACCTCATCTCACCCCCAAACCATTGATGCCCTTAGTTCATCCTGAGCACTGCATGTCTCCTACAAAGGGTACGGCTCTCCTTTTGACTAACAAGCACCAAACACCTGCCTTCTGCATCCTTCGCAGAGAATGCTGCGCTGTCTGCTCCTGTCGGATGCCTGGGTGTGAAGGCTGACTGGGACGGATGGACCTGTTGTTGACCCCACTCTGCCCTGTGCATCCACCAGTTACAAGAAAAAAAAAAACCTAATGGGGCTTCCTCATTTTGAATTTGATATAAAAGCCATCACTGAGTTTGCCTTCTTATGCTAGGTAGTCATTTTCAGCCAAGTGCTTATATATCAGCAGTTCATATCAAGAACTTTCTGGATACTCCAAGAAAAGTGCCATTCTGGACACTGCCCACTCCTTCCAGTATGACTTACACGGCTTGACATCACAGCAGCCTGTGCCAGCAAGAAGCTGCTCTTCCCCGTCAGCTGTCCCGTTTGCCTTTTATTTACTTTGAGTCACAGTAGGAATTTTATAACCTCTATGCTATGCTTTTCATTTTTTTGCCAAGAAGCTGAGAAGCAAACACGTGTCCGAGCATAGCCAATATGTTTCCCTAAGGTTTTGGCATAATTATTTCTCTATTTCTATGTAATAATTTTGTTTTCTAATTCTTGATGATAGCTCTGGGTAATTAACTAATAAAATGACAAGTGAATGTAACTGAGTTTTTTTCCCCCATATAATAAATACGGCAAGTGAAAGGATTTCAGCGTGGCGTTGTCTGTGAGCTCCTTCGCCTCTGGGCGGACATCAGTCAGACGAAGGGCTTTCATCCTTCCACGGCCCCAGATGCAAACCACCCTCTCCCAGGGCCTCATCAGACAGTTTTCCGTACGGCTTTCCATTGCTGCTTTCATTAATGTTTCTTCAGATGAAGAAACAACAGTCCTTTTTTCACTTTAGGGAAGTAGGTTCTGAGAAAACAAAATGAAACTTAATCTGAGAAGTCCTGATCGTTCATGGCAGTGGGGATGTTGTGCCTGTCGAGGGCTTGGGTCCCCAGCCCCGAGAGCAACGCTGAGGTGCCAAGGAGGCACGGAGGAGCAGGGTGCCCCGGAATGCTTGTCAAACACAGAAGGAAACGGAACATTGCCGTGTTAAGTCCGTTAGCCTGTCTTCACTGAGGTGCTGGTCAGAATCATGGAGGAAAGAGGCCACTTGCCACCATAAGCAATACTGCATCATTTCCCTACGGGCCATTTTCTTAAGCCAATATTGTTAAGGCCTGAGATTATTTATGCTTTACATAAACCTCAAGATAAAAAGTTTATGCCTCAACCTTTCTGATGGTGTTCCCTTACACTGGACTGAAATAAAAGAACATAAATTAGGTTTACAATGTGAAAGGACCTACCTTCTTTTTTAAAAGTCGAAAGAGAATCCAAGGTGCTATACATACAACATACAGCACTATTGTGTGTTGATTACACAAGCTGAGGCCACAGCAGAAAGCACCAATTTTGGCTATCTAGAAAAATAAAGAAAAAAATATGTAAGTTAAAAATTCACCAAAAATGCTATTCTGTTCTATTAAAGGCAGGCACCTTTACCAAAGGCCAGGCCCATGTCTACCTCCCAGACACGGCAGTTCTCCGTCAACAGCCGCTAACATTTATCAGTGTCATTTCTGTTCATAATGTTCATTATCGCTGAACAATTGTAGTTTGATCTTAAGTGTCTGCCTTCAAACTCACTTTTGGAAGTTCCTGGCAGTAGTAGGGTGTTGTGTCATTTTTCTTCCAGTAAAACCTGCCACGGAAGCTCAGCAATTCTGCTTTGCTTTTTCTTCCCACCCCGAGAAGCGTGGTTCTCTCTCGGTAGTGTTTTTGTCTGTTTTGAACAGATGGTAGCTTCACCGCTGACCAACACTCTCCCTTGACCAGCTCCTCTGCCCAAGCTTAGCCAGGCCCCGAGGTCAGGGCTCTCAGGTGACCTCTGTCCTAGACAGGTCACAGACCTTTATAAGAATGCTGCCTCAGTCAATGCGGCCAGAGCTTGCAGCGCTTCCAATCTGATCACATCTGACACCACGTTGAACCCTGCACCTTCCACCCCGCTGGGGCCATGCCTCACCACCCCGGCCTGCCCTCTGCATGGATCTTGTTAAGTCAGCCAAGCCAGAGGCCTTCTGAGCCCTGAGGATTCCTCCCGGTGAACTTCTCCTTTGCCAACCTCCACCCCAATTCCTTGGCCAGCCATTCGTTATTGTACTTGGAATTGAGCCTGCTCTCCCTCCTCTACTACCAACTCCACATAGCAGCAGGGCCCCACACCTGAACCTGAGTAAAGTATGTCTTACTGGTTTTTAACAAATGGCAATGGATATTCTTTTCTTGAACATAATCAGAAAAAAAAAATTTAATAATAAAAACCTCTAATAGCATCACAGATCTTTTGTGGAAACCACAAACAAAACACAACGCTCTCTTTTCTGTACTCCTTGGTGACACAGGGCTACCCTAAGATGATCTGGCATTCTCTAATGAAGGAGACCTTAAGTTCCTACAGAACAAGATTCTTTCACATTTCCATTGGTTTTGAAGACAGCTGTCTTGGAATTCACCACAGGTCTTCAGAAATGCTTTGATTTTACATGTGATTCTCTCTCTCTTTTTTTTTAATGAAAAAAAAAAATCATCATTCAACCTTCTTACAATGAGGAATTGAGACAGTAATCCACAATGGTGTAATATTTGGGGCAGAGTCAATCTAGGATAGCGCGCGCGCACACACACACGGTAGGCAGTGCCTATCTTTCCCACAGAATGCAGGGGGTGTCTCATATAATTCCCTCATTCTCCACTCGAGGCAGGAGAGGGGGCTCCGTTTCCTCTGGGCTTACTGTGGTCCCTCTTGGGCCGTCAGAGGCCTGACAGCCTCTCTCCTCTGCCAACCCGCCCAGGCTGCCTTGTCAGTCATCAGCCGAGATAAACAGTATCTAAACCCAAAGTTAAAAAAGAAATCCAGCGTCTGGCTGAAAATTAAAACAAAACAAAAATGATTTCACTTTGATCAAAATAAGTTACCTTTGATCTCTCCTTTGCAGTGGATGCCTCCTCAAAGTGTACAGTGAGAGCCATCAGCAGCCCCACAAACAGATTGTTGAAGCTAAAAACCTCAGCTGCGATGGACCACTGCCATGTTAGACGAGAAAATGAAAACACCCCCGCAGCAAGGATTCCTCCAGCGCGTGAGCCAGAAAGCCTGCAAACACAGATAACATGAAATCTCCTTTCCCAACAAAAAGAACTGACTTTCTTCTCCTTTTTCTAAACTGTACCAGCAGAATTGTGACAGTCGCCCAGCACTCTCCTCCACACATTTTCTGGTTAATACGTTATTTCAAGTAATTACTTTCTTCCAGCAGATTTTAATTAGGAAGGCTGGGTGTGAGACGATCAGCAAACGAACAGGACAAACCCACAGAAGGGATGGAGTTCACTTCTCAGATGTGACTCCTGAGGCTCAAGTTGATTCAGAAAGCCTGCCCAGATAGTAGGTAGAGATAACAAACCCGTGTTGTTTTCTCAGCTGTAGTCATGAAGAAAGAAGGACTAGGTGAGAATAAAATATGCTTGATAGCAAAAATGAATGAAACAGCAAAAACACTCATTCTCACTTCTGGAGGGGAATGGTTGGACTTGGTATCTTCTATCTTGGTCTCTCAGCAGTTGGCAGATAAGCTCAGTGTTTGTGGCACAGTGGGGAAGGCTGCTTCCTGCAATGCCTGCAATCCCACATGTGTGCCAGCTTGTGTCTTGGCTGCTCCACTTCCAATCCAACTCCTTGCTACCAGCCTGGAAAAGGCAGTGGAATATAGTCCAGGCACTTGGTCCATGACACCCAGGTGGGAGACCTGGAAGACTCTTCTGGCACTGGCCCGGCCAGGCCCAGAGGACCACTGGGGAGGGAACCAATGAATGAAAGTTTTTGTTTTCTTTTGCTCTGTCTCTCTCTCTCCTCTCTCTCTCTCTCTTTCTCTTCCAAATAAATAAAAGAACCTTTAAAAATAACAAAAAATGTAGCAATGACAGCCACATTTGGAGGTTTTAACATTTTATACAGCTAGGTTCTTACTATTTTTTTTAAGATTAATTAATTTATTTTTATCAGAAAGGCAGATTTACAAACAGAAGGAGAGACAGAGAGAAAGCTCTTCCATCCACTGGTTCACTCCTCCAAGTGCTGCAACAGGCCGAGTTGAGCCGATCTAAAGCCAAGAATTAAGAGTTTCTTCCAGGTCTCCCACGCAGGTGCAAGGTGCCAAGGTTTTGGGTCATTCTCAACTGCTTTCCCAGACCACAGGCAGGAAGCTGGATGGGAAGTGGAGCAGCTGGGACATTAACTGGTGCTCATGTAGGATACTGGCACTAGTAAAGTGAGCCGTTGCTGGGCCTGCTAGGTTCTTATTTTTTAATGCTCTTGTCTTTAGGCAAAGTTGAGGTTAGAAAAAATTAAACAAAAGGAATAAGAACGTAAATATTCAGTCACACTGAAAGACTCAAAATGATATATTTGGAAACAAATTTCTCACTCCTAAATGCCAACAAGAGCCATGAACTTGAAATCCATCAAGAATCTGAACCACAGGCGAAGGTTTGATTTGAGACTGGTAATGTGGTTAAACACACTGGAATGATGTCCCATTTTACCATAGAGCTAAAACCACAAAGACTAAAGCCATCACTGAATCTATCTCTAACAGTGCTAGAAAATTCAGCAAACATCACTATATTGAGTAATAATGACACGATATGGTCCCAAGTTACTAGTTTCCAACTATACTATTTTCTACAAAAATTAGGAAGCTACCGTATGAATCTCGCACAAACTTGTTTTTTTCTTTGAGTTTCTGTTTACACTGGATTTCTATTTCCTTTCCCATTAAAAAAAAAAATCAGCAATTTCTTACATCTTTCAGGGTTCTTCATTCTCAAGGGATCCTGACCCAACTCCCCTAGGGTATCTCTTCTTTTCAATTTATGTTCACACTTGACAACTCCTTTCTGTTTCTATTTTCATGACCTTAGACCCAATGATGTTTTGAAGGAAGATTTCTTTATCTGAAAGGCAGAGTAACAGAGGGAAATGGGAGCTCTCAGAGAGAGAGAGTGATACACCAATCTTCTATTTGCTGATGCACTTGTTAAAGGGCCATAATAGCCAGGGCTGGTCCAGGTTCAAGTTAGGAGCCAGGAGCCTCATCGAGGTCTCCAATAAGGATATCAGGGGCCCAAGGGTCCCCCTGCTATCTGCGGTGTGTTAGCAGGGACCTGGATTGGAAGCAATGCAGCTGAGGCTCCAACCGGTACTTCAATATGGGATGCTGTGCCACAGTCACGTGACTCGTTCCCCACAGTGTCTTCTGTCTTCCAATCTCTTCCACACTGCAACACCATACCAAGTTTCCCAAACCATTCTCCTGATGACTACTCAGTCCCAAACCAAAGGACCCTTCCTTGTCCAAAATCTAAGTTCTAAATGAGTCAACAGGGAGCCTAGGTTTCCTAATCACAGGACCCGATCCATCCACTGATTCCCAACCGTGCTCTCTGCGGCAACTGGCTGGTACCCCAAGTACCTTGCAGAAAGGGTCATGCCTTCACTCAAACTGTACCCCTAAACTGTATGTTCTTCTGGCTCCCCTCTGCTTATTCAAATGCGATTCTTATCTCCGATTCCTCTTCAATTACCAGGTTGCTAATCCATCTCCTAAAGCCTATAACATTTAACTGTCTTTATGTGTTTTCCCAACATTGATTTTGATATCTGAGTTGGAGTTAAAGAAAACTTAGTGAATGAGAGAATGAGTTAAAGTATTTTTAGCATGTTTAAAAGTAACTTTTAGGTTTCATCATCAATATTGTCTTTTAGAAAGTCAGCATAAAATATGAACATCTTTCCTACACTCCAAACTTAATTAATTAATTAGGATTCCTGGAGAGATGGCTGGCCACAGGGCTGGCACTGCTGGAGTACAAACTGAGCCTGGAACATCGGATACTGGAAAGGAAGAACTGGGGGTAGGGAGGGCCACATGGTAAACAGCACATGAGCCGCTTCATGGGGCTCTCGCAGCCAAACTGGAGCTAACCTGAGTCTCAAAATAATGACAGTAACGGGTTGTAACCCATTGAGTAACCAAGAATCCAAGACTCTATGATGACACAAGGAAGAAAAATGGGAGAAAGGAAAGCAGAAGGTCAATTAATAGTTGTAAAGGAAATGATGCAATTCAAATCCCCCGCGACAAGTCGCTCCTCAGCGGTAGGTGTTTGGCACCGCAGTTAAGGTGCAGTTTGGGACAGCCGCATCTGATGCCACGACACTTGGTTCCAGTCCCCACCTCCACTCGGACCCCACTTCCTGCTGAAGTGTACCCACCAAGGCAGCCACTGATGGTTTAAGTTGTCTGGTGCCTGCCACTCATGTGGGAGAGGACCAGCCTCAGCTATTGCAGGCACCTGGGAAGTAAACCAACAGACAGAAGCTATTTTCTCGGTCACTCTGCCTTTCAAATAACAGTAACACAACTTTATATGAAAAAGAGTAATTAGCCAAATTGGTGGGTAAAAAGTTTTGAAACAGTACAATTTGTCCATAGCCTTAAAGTATCGCCTCATCATTAATCACAAAGGGGGAAGTGGTGACTTTACAGCAGGAGACCTGGCAGTCGCAATCTTAGCTATGTGACTCAAGTGACCAGCCCCAGGAATGGCACAAGCAAACACGTGCCTCCTAAATGATCTTCCCAATTTTACCCAGTCAAAAGAATGTCACATCATGTCTAAGGGGCCTAGACCTAACTGAAGCTGTAGGACACGCCACACAATAACCAGCCCACCTGTGTCAGAAGTGCCAAAGCCCCACACACGTGAGCAGCAACAACGACCCTGGGGGAGGGCGAAAGACTAAGGATGCTAAAGGAATTTGAAAGGCGTGGCCTGGGACTTTCTCTGCTGCCAAGGACAGGATTGGCACCGCTGATACAATCTGACTCAGTTAACTGTGTGCCATCCCAGATGGGTACCTGATTCCAAGATGTGTTCTGTGACTCCGTAAGGATGCCTTCCTGGGTTTAAGAAACATACCCTGGAGCACTGCGAGGTAACAAAGCACTCTGCCTGTGGCTTATTCTCTGGTAATCCAGAACAGAACAAAATGAGACACACCAGTCAAGGCTAGCGAGAATGAGGCAAAATACCGCCATCTGGGGAACCTGGGTGAAGAATACACAGATTGGCTATTCCTGCTGCTTCCTCTAAATCTGAATCTACAACAAACAATTTTTAAAAGTGTAATGAAAAGCAGTAATTGCTGGGTAGTAATTTGCTCAAATGTATGGGGTTTTCTGGCTTCTCTGCGTTAGGTACACTCCCTATTTTAACTCGCTTGACTCACAAGGAACCCTACGAGTAGATGCTATTTGTCTCCTTTGCACAAATGAGGAAGTTTAGGCCTGGAGAGGCCAAGGAAGCTGTAAAGGAGGCAGCAAGACCAGGACTTGCACAGGCCTCGTCCACTACAGAGTGTAGTAAGCGGTGGCTGTTTCAGTTTAAGTGGCATGTGATGCAATGCGTTCTGGATTAGCGGTAACTTGTACTTTTACTGGGTTAGCTCTGTACTTTATCAAGGCTGGTCCCACACACCAGCAAGGTCTACAATCTGGATTTTCCCTTTCTAATCTCCACTTCCACCCAGAATGGTTTTGCAATTGAAGAATCCATTATATTCTTTCACCTGGCTTTCACGTGAGGCTACTGAGTGAAGCTATAAAACATAAATCAAAACTACAACCGAAAGCACCTCTGCATGGAATGACTGCTCAGAAATTGAGCCAAGCTTCAAGGAAAATTTCATGTCAATTGATGACAAGAGGGGAGTGGATTTTAAGTTTTTGTTTGTTTCTCAGCAGCGGCGTAGGAGGCTCTAGCTGGCGTTTTAATTATAGACAACCCAGTGAAGGAACTGCTATCTGGTTGAGGTTTTTCACACTTTTTTTTTTCTGAAAGACAGAAAGACAAAGATTTACCATCTGCTGGTTCACTCCCCACCTGGCCACAACAGCCAGGCTGAAGTCAGGAGCTAGGGGAACTCCACCTGAGTCTCCAATGTGGGTGGCAAGGGGCCCAGGTACTTAAGCCACCACCTGTCGCCTCTCAGGGTGCACATTATTAGCAGGATGCACAGGCAGAAGTTAAGGA